CACTTCACAGTTTATAAAGATACAGAAGTAAATTTAGGGTTTGCTTTTGTTGAGGCATAGCAGAGTTATCTCCCAATGGGTAGGAAATGGATGTTAATGATTTACTAAGCTGTGATGTTCAAAGGGGATTTGGATAGCAAAAACTACAGTGTCTGGTGGTTACTGAACAAGTATATTCTTTCTTTCCACATCCACCTGAAGTGGAGGCTTCATTTTATCTCCTGTGCAGGCTAGAGTGGTTGAATTACAAGCTCTCCCCTCCCATGCAATGCTATACAGATTTTAATTATTTTCAGTTAACCCCCAGAAGACCAGAAAAGCACAATTCCTTGTAGATGCGCTTCATGTGTGCACTGATTCTTTTCTGGGTGAGTCAGGTAAAGCTTCTGTCGCCTGTTAGCGACATGGCCCATCCTTCCTGCAGGGGACAAGAAAGCATGGAACCAGGTGGTGTTCGTGAGACAAGGATGCACTGAAGAGGATCGAGGGAGAGAGGAAGCAGGGCAGAGCATGTGGTCTCAGCTAGAGTCTGGCTACTGCTTTCCATACACATTTGATCTCCCTCATGCCAGTTGAGGTGGGTTTTGTTGAACCCACTCCTCCCAGGCCAGGTAGTGTCTGTGTGGGTTGTGGAGGGGACAGCTTTAGTCTCCACTGTGAAGTGGATTCTACTGGTTTAGGGACTTTCCTCCAGAAAAGGGAGCAAGTGGGGAGACCCTTACCAGCTAGCTTTCCCAGCAGCTGGGGTACAGCTGCACCCAGGTAAAGGAGTCTGGGTAGAGTGCTAATAACATCTCCTTCAGTCTTTTGTCTCTGGCTTTTCAATCCATGCTTCCCACTGCAGTCATTAGGGCCATCATTCTATTCAGAAACCATCAATGACCCCTTACTGTCTAGAGAACACAATCCCAATTATCCATTTTTTTTAAATTTCCAATCTTTCTCTGATCTTGCTGCTCTTTTCTCCTTTGGTAATCAAAGCACCTTGGTCTTGTGCATCTTGCATGAAACCCTCCCTTCTTCTCTACCTGGCTAACTTTTTATCATTCCCTCCTTCTTCTTATACTTTCTTCTTCATGCCTTCAAGTTCACCAACAAAACTGTGATTGAGTCCCCATGCTGACACATTCACACGTGAATTAATTATCTGAATAAATTATTTAACCTCTTCCATTCTCTGTCTCTTTGCCTATGGAAGGAGCTGTTCAGCTGATAAATTCAAATTCGAATTGCATTATGTCTTAAAGCTGTAGAAAATCCTCCCCCACATACCCACTTATGAAGAGGCTGCTTACAGAGTCCCTGAGCTCCTTTATTTTGTGAACTTCCTCACATTTATTGTGTTGGTGGTTTGGCATTTATCATAACCGCACTTGAATTTTGAAACATTGTTACTTTCGGGCACACCATCTTCTTCACTACACCCTAAGCTTTCCAAAGGCAGCCACTATTGCTTAACCAGCCGGCATCATGGCTAATAGGAGAGGTCTTCCATGGAGTTTGGAAAACTAATATGCCTTTTTTAAAAAAATAAAAAAGCACATGAAAAATCTGGGCTATAATTGTATGTTAAGAAGGTAAATTTGAAGCTTGTTATGATTAGAGTTGAAAAATCCACCTAAGTTTAGGTTCACAGTTAAAACAGAAATTTGGAATATAGTGATATACAATGAACAGTGATCCAAAACTCTCTGGGAAAGAGAACTCTATTAAAGTGAAGGACCTTTAATCCAAACATATAGGCAACAAATGATTCTGTTTACCAGTATACTAGACAAGAGGTTGAGATTCCAAAATATAGTTATGCTCCAATTTATTATTTGCTTTTTTTGGGGTACTTATCAAGTAAGAACCAAATAAAATATACTTTAAAAATATTTTCAGATTCCTTAAACATTTGGATTTTGTATTATGTACTCTTTTTCAAGACTGGAATATTTAGTTAGGATATCTGACTGGAACTGTATATCAAAATACTCAGAATCAGCAGGTTCACGACAAAAGGTAGTGCTACTGGGAGTTATTTATTATGTTCCTAGTTGATGGAGTTCATTTTTTAAGTATATCCCATCATGCCCTAAGGGTATTTATAGACCAAACTTCTTAGCAAGTCTGGCTTTCATGATTTCACTCTATGTGCTAGGCTTCTACAAGTGGCTATTGAATACCAGCCAGGATGATTCACTTTTTATCTTGAGATGGAAAACTCCTTATAATATGGTTCTATCTTGAGGTATCTGCTTTCTGCTACTGGTTAAATACCAGTGACACATAAGGTAGTAAGGATGCTTTGAATGCTTTAAGATGAATAGTTCAGGACTTTTAAAAAGCCCGAAACTCTGGGTTGTAATGAAAAAAATTCAAGTGGACCATTTCACAATAAACTGACGTTACTTATTTTTCTCCACTACCTTCCACCTACAATCCTAGATACAGAGATGGGCAGGGAAAAAAATTGTAAAAGACCTAGAGGAATACCTAATTACCCTCATGATTTCTACTATAGTTAGCATTTATCTCCTTTTAAAATAACTGATGGTTTATGTGATTTTCTCAGCTGAAACTTAGGAGATGAGAAAAGATAGGATATTTGGAATGTCATATACAGGGAAGCATTGCTGTCAAACATATTATTGAGGCTGGAAAAAATGAAATTGAAACAAAGAACACCTGCTACTTTAACTCATTAAAAAAAAAACCATAATGTTCTTTACTTGCTGACTGGAAATATTGTATTTTCAGAGAAGAGAACGTGCTAATCTAAATGGGAGAAAATATAATGATTCACTATGCAATGATAGGAAATAAAAAATATTTTAAATTGGATATTTGAGTTTGTGGAGGGGTAGGTGCTTTGTATAAAAATGATTTTGTTCATCGGTTGGTGAGTATTTCTTGCAAATTGCAGCAAAGAGTAAAATCGGCTTGTCACTAAAGATTTTTTTTATTGACATCTTTAGCTTGTCTTCATGCCAGTAATTAAATTGCTAATTATGTGTTTCTGTTACTGTGGTCATGCTTTTATTACATAATTGCTTCAAGTTTAGCTCAAATCACTAACAATATTTATTTAACCTTTTTGTGCATTAGATAAATTTTAATATATAAAAGCTTTGGAATGAGTTCCTTGACTCTGTTTTGATTAGCAAAATCAAAGGAATTCTAACCTTCCTTATAGTTACATGGGTTGTTGCTCATGTTTTCAATGAAATTACTGATAATTATTAATTTGAGCAATAGCAATCATTGAAAGACCAATTGAAACAGAAGGAAAAAATACAAAGGAAACCTATCAAAAACCTTAGTGTCCATTCCAGAAAAATTAAATGATCTTGCTTGAGGTAACTTGAAATATAAAATTAAGAATGCGGGTCTTAATATATGTCCAAATTTAAAAAAACATATATTTGATTGTTGTGAGTAATTCAGTTACCAAGCTTCCTCCTCCCCTTTGAATGTGGGCATAATTTTTGTCACTGTTTCAATATATTCATGATTTTTTCTCATTTGTTTATTTTATGCAAACCATAAGAGACGTTTTTCTCAGCGAAGATTGCCTCTTTATTTTATTTTGAAATATTTGTATATTTATTTCATTAAATGAGATAATGCTTTTTCTTATTAACATAATTTCCAGTACATTAAACATATTTCTCCACAGACAGAAGAGAGGAATCAAATTAAATGACAGCTAAATCACTTGCAGCAATTTCAACTGTTAAAAGAAATAAGTGTCTCTGTTTTCTTTGTGATCACAAGATGTGCTGTAAAGGGAAATGAAATACTAAAGAAAGAACGGAAAACATAAAGAAATAATGACTGACTTATTGCAGTAATACCATTGAGAGAAGAAAAATTCACTACAAATAAAAGGAAAATAATATAGTGGGTTTGAAAGTTACCAAAATTCATTTCTTATTGATGAGTTCAGTGGAAGCCTAATACTAAGTAAACTGATGAAAAAAAATCAATGCAATAAACTATGAATGATGAAAGTTGAAATAAATACTTTGTGTATGGCAGACCATTATTCTAAATGTCTTTAATTTTTTAATAATTCATGTCTTTATGTTTATAAAAAAGGAGGAATTATTGCTTAGTGGACTCAAAATGCATGTAAAAAGCATCTACTTGAATCCCACATTTAGTAATAAGACCAAATGATATTGGCGACCTTCTGATTTTTAGTATCATGTCCTGATTTTGACATAAATGCATCAAGGGGAGGTGAGCTTGACTTTAAAAATGTTGTTGGCAAAGGACGCTGGTACATTTATACAGCATACTTAACTCTATGGGGGACAAACTGATTTCCAATTTTTTGTACCACATAAAAAGGAAAATTCAGAATATGTATTATATGTACGCGTGCTTATAATATGCTTGTGACTATTCTGGGGGACCAGGAGGGAATGTGATGACACTTCTTGGTAAAATCAACACTGCACTTTTCACGTGTGTGTGCATGCACGTATAATTTTTTACACAGGTCAGGTTGTTAATATATTCAGATCAGATCATATCGGTTACCTAAGTCTGAATATTTGCAGGTGGACTCATCCACTAATTTTCTCTATTCATATTAAATGATATATAGTTTTAAAATGGAAACTAGTTAATTTAATCAATTCAATCAGAAGCAGTCAATTTGGTAGAGGCAAGGGGATCATTCCAGCTATTTTTTTTTCTGAATTGACTCTGACTGAATTAACCTTCTAATACAACTGATCCTATAGCACTCTCTTCTCAAATGCCATCTTATTCTTTCCCTTTTCCCCAGTCCATCTGCACCCTCAGCCTTCTCTCCTCCCTCCATCCCTTAGGCTCTCTCCTAGGTGCTTCTAAACTTTTGACTTCTTCACTTTTTTGACCAACACCTAAGGAAGCTTTCCACTAGCCTCTCTTTCCAGTAACCGTCCTTCTCCCACCACACACATTTGCCTTACTGGGAGGAAAAATTCTAAAGTTTTTTTTTTTTTTTTTTTTTTTTTTTAATTACAGACACTGAAGACTGTTGCCTTGCTGAAAACCTCTGACTGATGCTCTAGAACAGGACACTTAAGGTAATAATGGTGAACTTTTTTCCCCACTTCTAGAAACCTTTTCTTCCCAAATGTTTGCAGTTCCCTACTTGGAATAAACTTTCAGATCCTCTCTAAGACTGTTTTCTCCACAGTATGGAAACTTTGCAAGGGTATATGGGAGCCACAAGGCAAGAAGATTTCTGGAAGATTGGGAGGACTGAATTTGGGGGTCAATGACTATGTTCAGGAAAACTTTTGTGTGCCCACTTTGGAAAAACTTATCTTTCACTCAGGATGCAGGGGATCAGGCAAAAGTACAGGCCATATGCAAGAGATTTTGAATTATGCATTAAGCTGATAATGCTCCAGAATGCAAGCTTGAGTCAGTAAATAACTAGGCTGGTTGGTGGAGGGTGTTCACCTTATTGGGGCAGGGGGTACCACACAGGGAGAGAGCTAGAAGAAGGCTAGGGGAAGGGTGAAAGGGGGTTGCAGCCTTTTGGCTTGCTCTGATGAAAAAGCAGGAAGAGTAAGTTAATATTGAAACTATTGTCTAGTGCCTATTTGCTTTTAAATTGATTTAGCCAAGGTAACAAGACTATCTCCCCTGCCCTGTCTGTGCAAGTTTGCACTTGTGGTGGAGGGAACTCTTCCGTAGAATCTTATGTAAAGAAATTCTGTCCAGGAGAGAAATTGGTTTGAATCTTTTGATGGGGTCCATAAAGGGACTCTTTAAAAGGCAAGATTTTTTAAATGATGAAATTTGGCAACATTTGTAAGAGGACACTTAAGGTTTTGTTTGACCAGGTTTGCTTTCCTAATTAATATGTAGTAGAAAAACAGTAGAAGTTAAGCCAGTGGAAGAAGCAGAAGGATTAAAAGAATGTTATAAATTATCTCCCTGCCACATGACACAGCACTACCCAGTGCTAATGAGAACTGATTCTTTAATATTTGCATTGCTACTTCTGATTTAGTAAAAAGTATCAATGAATGTGACCATCTTTCATGAGAAATGAACATGTATAGGCAGGCACATATGTGTGCACACATATACGTGATATTAAAAAAAAAAAAAGCCCAGTTATATCCTCCAAGCAAATGCAATATATCTGAGGCTGAGGAACCTATAAAGTGGACAGCTGAACATTTGCCTACTTCCCCCCCCCCAAAAAAAAAAAACAAACAAACAGGAATTCCACGAGCATTTCATTGCTTTTCTAATTTTAGACATAACTTTTAGCCTCTGGTTGCACATTGTTTTTGCATAGTCTCTGCAGCAGGGAGAAGGCGTTTGTGAGGCCAGTTCTATGTGCACACACACATATATACAGCAACAGATTAAAAATGGGTCTGGAAAAACACCCTTCTCCTTGGAGAGTCATATCAAGCAGTGTTTAAATTAAATAATTTGCAGAGTGGAGGGAATAAAGCTTTTGTAGCAGTATCTGGAGGTTATCTTCCCTTGGGAAATTCTTGCCATTTAGTACAATCTGGTGCATGCCAATGAGACACATGCCTACATACACACATTAGTAGATGGATTTTATTTCACTGCTAAATTATATTTATTTCTTTGGGTTACCTGTCATTTTGTGTTCAGGTAGAGGAGAAAAAAAAAAAGAGGCAAACTTTCCTGGGAAAGGTTGAGGCCATTAAGATCCAAACAAAAGCAAGGAGAGGTAGTTAGGGATCAGGCGTGAGAGAAGGCTGGCTTCTAACATGCAGCTGGTTTTCCCATAGCTCCTCCAGGGACATGGCTGGGATTGGGAGAATGTGTAAGCTCAGGCCAATGTTTGATTTTGCTCCCAGCCCATTGACTGATGGTGACAGAGAAGCCTTGCAATGATGAGGTAATGTGAGTGGGTAAGCCACAAGTAGCTGAAATTGGGTGATTTCTTGCTACTTTCTCTGCACAAGCATTATCTATTCTGCATGGGATATTGAGGAGAGGTTTTCCAGTGAACTCATTCCTTGATAGCCATGTCTCCTTAGTCTGATCAGCTCACCTGTGCCTTAGTGGAGAGAACAGGGTAATGAATGAAATGTTAACTAGGAGAGAGGATGGCAGGGGCTGGAGGAGGATGGGAGGTAGAGGATATCTACCCATGTACAAAAAATGCTGAAAGGTCCTGGTTTTGACAATTGGTAAGACTCAAGTGAGAATAGTTATTAAATCAATTATTAAACGTGATTATAGTCAGAAGTACTAGAGTTTAAACATGAATTTTGTAGGGTGTACACAATTCATCCCATGGCAAATGGACTTCAAAATGTTTGGTAGAATGATACATTTTTTCACACATTTTTTGCTGACTCATTTAGACATTTAGTCTCTCAATTATATTTCAGTATTATATTTTGTCCCTCATTCTCTGCTACATTTTTACTAATAACTGAACAACATAATGTATCACAATTATTGTAGGGGATTGGGTTTTATTATCTTAAGAAGTAGGATTGGAGAGAGAAAAGCTTACTTAACAAGATAAGTAAGTTTTAATCTGAGTATTTTTAAAAAGGAAGTCATCTCCCCCCACCACCACACTTTTGGCACAGTTTTATCATAAAGATTGAAAGAATAGGTTTGCTTCAGCTCCACCATATTCAGACTGACCACAGCAAATGATGTAGCCACATCTGACTCTGCTTCTGTAGATTATAGATCTACATCGCCCAATGGAGGATTGAGATGATACCTGTCAAATGTTTTAAATGGTGCCTGGCTCACGTTTAGTGATCAGTGAATATTATTTATCTAATATCCATCATAACCACAGATACTCATGGAATGCTACATTGTCCTGGTGCTGGACAAAATATAATACTGAATTTCATTTGTTAACAGACTTATTTCCTGCTTTTTGAGGTGGAGTTAGGAGCAGGTTTTTTAAATTATTATTTTTTTTAAGTGGACCTTGATAGAGACTTGATCTCATACAGGTTTTAATGTCCTCTCCTGTCTTCCTCTACCCACAGATCCATGTGCAAAAAGTAGAGTGAAGGGAAAGTTAAGAAGAGTAGCTGAGTTCTTCTGATAGATAGATTATGGTCTCTTAGGAACCTAGTTTTTTTTTTTTTTCCCCTTCGGTGATGACTCTTACTTTGTGCATCAAGAGGTGCACAGACCTAGTTTTGTCCTGTGGTCTTGCCAGTCACTGGCTCCTCCTGTGTCCACTGGAGATAGTTTCAGTCTCCTAGTCTGAGAGGTCCCAACACATCAAGCACTACTGGAAATTCAGGACTGGGCTACCAGATCAGGGTTACCCACAAAGCCTGTCAAAATGTGTAAAGATACAAAGACAGACCCATTGTTTGATTAGGCAAAGTGTTGACAGCACCCCTAGATATGCTGTATATAAGTAATCACCATGTACCAGCCAACATGTTTCTTAAGTCTCTCAAGACTCAACTTCAACTACTTTAGGAATAGGCTAGTGACCAAGAAAACAAAAGTATTATTTTTAAAATGACATTTCCTCATGGAACTTTTGACCTCATAAAATCCTGTGAAAATGTACACCAAGACCTTGCCCTTTGATTTTTCAAAGGTTGGAGAAGTAGCAATACACTTTGAAATGAATATTAAGAAAAGGTACTTGAGCTATGTGAAAATAATGGTACTAACAACTGATGTGTATTAGGCATTTTACTTGTGGGACACACCATGGTAGACTATTTGTGGTTCTCATCTAATTCAATCCTCTCCCTAAATCTATAAGACAGTCACATCATGGGATGAACAGTGAAGAAAAAGGATTTCCAGGATTCAAATCCAAGTATTTGGGTTCCATTGCAGTCCACGGCAGTGATGATGTAATATTTGAATGACAATGAGAATCACCTAAAACAATTTAAAATAAAACTGACATATTTCATACTGTATCTCTATTCCAGAGGTATTCAAAATATAAACCTTAAAAAACATAAAATGGTGAAAATATAACACAGGAAATAACTTATTTTTGCAATTGTCAGTTTGGAAAGACCTTTTTAAGGGCACAAAGACTTGCAGGACATGCACACTATATATAAAGTTTAAAATGAAGTAGGAAATAAATAAATAACACAACAGAAAAATGGCAGTAGAATATGATTGGGCAATTCATGGCTAATAGACATGAAATAAAACTAAAAATGAAAATTTGAAGTGTCCCATTTCTTACATATATGATTGTAAACTTTAAATTATGAAAAAATAGCTAGACTTGGTGGCACATACCTGTAATACCAGGAATTTGGGAGGTTGAGGCAGGAGGATCACAAGTTCAAAGCCAGCCTCAGCAACTTAGCACGGCCATGAGTGACTTAGTGAGACCCTGTCTCAAAATTAAAAAATGAAAAGGGCTGGGGATGTGGCTTAGTGGTTAAGAGCTCCTGGGATCAATCCCTGGAACAACAACAACAACAAAAAAAGACAAACAATATTTAACTTTGGTGATTTGTGTAGAAATGGTCCTTGTTGTACTTCTGTAAGTGAGAGTAGAAAATGACATAGGATTTTGGAAGGGCAACTTTTCAGTACCTTCAAAAATTTTATATGTATAGATCTTTGATACAGAAATTCCATTTCTAGACCTTTATATTGTGAAACCACTTGCATGTAACTGGAGGTAAAGTATAAGGATGTCCATAAAATACTGAATTTTTTGTTTTTGTTTTTATAATAGTAAAAGCAAGAAAAAGGCTAAAATAATTTGATTATTTATGGTATGAAATACTATATGGCCATTAAAAATAATAAGGAAATAACTTTAGATGGATCTAGATATCAAACAATATTGTATGAAGTGAAAAAGTAAAACAAAAAATTTATGACTAGCTGTGTGTAGTCTAATTTTGATATGTAAAACATACAAATTAATTAAAAATAAACACATAGAGGAACTAAAAGGATATACAAAGGGTTATATCTACAATAAGTTATTAGCTCTGTGAAGGACTGAGAATATGTATGTCAAGAGCATTTTTTTTCATGTTTTAAACTTGTATTGATATCTAAGGTGTTGGTTTTTAGTCTTAGGTATATATCAAATTTTCATTAAAAATTTTTAATTTGACCCCCCCCCCCCAAGTTACTAAAAATATTATTGATTTGAGAAATGTTACATAAACAGATGGATCACAGATGGTGGTTTATAGGTGATAGATTTTCTTTTAGCTTTTTCATATTTTAATTGCCAAATATTCAATAGTGTGTGCCCATTGCTCAACTCAGATGTAGTGAATAAAAATCCCAAGGATTGGACCCCAGGGTTCTGCTCTGTAAAATGTTCCTGAGGTAGGCTCGCAGTTAGCTGGCTTTCAGAACTGCAAAGCAGACACAGCTTCATAAGTGTTCAAGGCAACATGGACCTTTGCATTTGAAGGTGCCTAGGAAGAGTGATTTCAGTTAGACTGTGCTTGAAGGTGAATTTTAGAGTACACAATTGTTTCCTCTTCATTGTATGAATACTGATTCAGTGTTCCTTTTTGATTTCTAGATTGTGTCTGCTGTGGGATGCTATTTCTCTGGTAAGTTTTCCACACTTGTGGGATCTCCTATACCTCATGCTGCTATTTATTATAGTCACTGTGTCTGGTTTGTGCTTTAATCCCAAACTCCATGCATTTAATGATTTACAGAATAACCAGTGGGATGGTGCTTAGCAAAGACCCAAAGCTGATTCTCCACCTCTCCTTGCACCTCTCCTTATTTTCCTTTTGTTAGGAACATGCCACAGAGCTTTCAGGTTATGAGCTCTTAGAAAAAGAGACACGATTGCTTTTCATATATGGTGCCTTCTTTTCCTGTATCTATCAGTGGAAAGGAAGGGCCAGATGTGTGTGTTTTTAAAAAAGAACCTTGAATTAATCTGCATAACTTTGAACAATCATGTCTGCTTGCTTCATGTCTTTCTGACATGCCAGTATGCACACCAAATGCTTGTCCACTTAACAATGAAACACTTATTTTTGCATTTCCAGATCTATTGATATTTGCTCAGAATGCAGTTTCCCCTTGTAAGAGCTGTGGAATGGAATTCATGTCTCTTTTCTGCTCAATAGTTATGTATTATCCTGTTTTGCCTTCTGCCTCTTACGTATTTTGTTTGGAGGTCAGATTGGGGGGTGAACCATTATATCCTCTGATGGCTACAAAAGCTATACTCTTTGCAGGAAAATATAAAATATATATTTGTGGTTTGTCTGTATCTTGAGGGTCTTTCTGATATTCCATATTTTGGAAGCCCAATGAAGCTAAAGTTCCTAACCCTTACATTATAACATATACTCCTGGTTAAGTTTGTCTTGCTGCAAAAGTAGCTACAAGAATGAGAATTGTTATAAAGTGAGCAAAAGCTCTTTGATAATTAGGATTCATCTACAACTAGAGCATTTTATTAATTACACATTGTAATCACATGGATAGTCACAAAACCAATCGTGCAAGTCTGTATTTAGAGATTTGTAGACAGAAGACTTAACGTAAACATAGAAATGTTAAACCTACTCAACTGTGACCTGCAAAGAAGATAACAAGAAGGATTCTGTTCTCTGTATGATTTGTGAACAATGCTAAGTAAATATTCATCATTAATATATAATAACTGTTGCTTTTGGCAGTTCACTTTTCATTTAATTTGATAATGTGTCCAGTAAATGAAGTGGTACAGGCTACAGTGTTTTACCAACACAATTGCATATTTTCAATCATTGTTAAATGAAGGCAGCTCAAGGCAAAGCTTTAACCCCCACTAGTTTTTTGTGTGATAAAAAGAGAAGGCGCTATCAATCTTTATTGTCTGTCTCGCTTACTGTAATTGCATTCAATAGTCCACTGATTCTGTTGTCTGTGCTAATGTCAGGAACAGAGGAGAGCCAGATGCTCAGACTTGATCATATGCATCCAGTGGCCACTTTGATAAGTTGGCAGCAAGTCATTGGGTTTGATGATAAATTGTTAACGCTATAGATTATGAACAGCTGAACACTGCAAGTGTACATGGAGGAAACTTCTTACCTTGTTTTAAATCTGGCATCATGATGCTAGCTAAAGGGCATGTCATGTATTATTCAAATGCATCTTGCACTGGAGATGTGCCAATGACTCATTGTATCCCTATGAATACTAAAAGCAACAACAACAAAAACCCACAGTGATTTGAACATGACATTAATGGTCCCAGGATTATGAAAAGCATTTTGAAATACTGTTTAATAGTTTTGATTATCTAATTCAACCAGAAGAAAGCTTCTGAGTTGTATTCACATTTAATCCACATTAAATCATGCTCTTCCTGGTCATTTCTGTTAAATTAGTCGATAATGAGGATGTTTTCTAAAAACAAACTGGTTTTTCATTAGTTAAAACCCATGGCTGCTTTCTTGTGAAGGGACATGAATTGGAGCTGGGGCCCAAGCCATTTGTTGAAATTTTTTGCCAAGATTTTGTTTCCTAAGGTTTCTGCTGCTTCTGAGAGGGATGTGTGATAGGCTATTTGTATGGAGTATACAATAGATCTACTTCGACTGAGCCCTGTGACAGTTATAGAAGTTCGTAGTTGTGGTTCTTAAGTTATTGGACATCTATTAAAGTTGCTTTAAGAAGCTGAGATAACCATGAACTGTATAGCCATCTTGTTTTAGAGCATGCTGAGCTGTTGATCCCATTTTCAATGGAGAATTCCAAGTGCAGCCCTTTGAAGACCTTTTCCTTATCACTGGAGAACTTAGTCTTGAAATGTCTGATCATTACATAGTTTGGTTAGGGTGAAATAAACACATATAAGAAATACTGTTGTATTTATGGATTGGGACTAAAAAAGTTCTCTTGCCCAGCTGGATTTTTTCTTATTAGTTAATGAAAATTTTGTAATGCATTGTGTATTACCCTTTGCCTGTATTGCTAGGGGATTCAAAACACAACCACCAGTCACTTTTGTAGCTGAGTTTTCAGCTATGATTTTTTTCTTTTCCCATTTCTCCTTCATTTTTTTCTTGTTCTTTTATCTTGCTTTTCTCATCTCTCTCTTATTGGCAGGATGGGTACATAAGGAACTGGCTAGTAGAGAAAGGAAGGGAAGAAAAATCTTCCATGAAGTATTAAGGGCAGAGCCCAAGGAAGGTTTAACTGTGTCACTAAGATAAAGGCCAAAGTCTGTGGTTCTGACCTGAGAGAGATTCTTACTAACATTGGGAAAATCATGTACACTGCAATTAGGGCCTTTCCTTATTTTTAAAAAAATGAAGTGAGTATAATAAAATTGTTGAATTCATAAGACTTCGGTAAGGATTAAATGAATTTGTCTAAAATAAGCATTTAATAAAGTTGACAGCTGTGATGGTGAAAACATTTTATGTGAGCTCTGGAATGTAAAGGTAGCATAATTCTTGACCCAAATGTTTGAGTTTACTTCTGAAGGCATCTGAAATTAAACCTAACTCTTAAAATAATCTCACCATGATTTGGTACATCACAACCTAAATCCTACTTTAAGCATGCTGATGTGTGGGAGTCTTTGTTTCCTATTTGATTATTTGAGGTGAACTCTGTACTTTGCAAAAGGTTTTTAACTTTACAAAGTTCATCACTTTAGCATTCTTTGTAGTATGGGGTTTTTCTGTAAGAATGAATCATTAAAAATTTAAATGAATACAAGATTTGCAAGAGTGAAGTGTTGGTCTAAAGTAAGATGAGGCTTCGCCAATTCAACCCATGAAAGACTTCAGCCCAGATGGGCAGGCCCTCCTCTGGGTTTGTGATATCATTGCTAATCTTTTGCTGATTGTTCCACACTTGCTTTCCTTAGACTCCATGGCTTCTCCTTTCCAGTTAGTCTCTGATTGGTTTCTACATTAGAGTACCCAGGGCTTAGCTTGAGGTTCCTGGGGCTTGCTCACTTACCCCCTTTCCCTTGGTGACTTCAACTGGTCCCAAGGGTTTAAATGTCATCTATAGACTGGTAGCTGCCAAACTTCTGTCTCCAATGGGACCCCTCTCCTGCAACTACAGATTCCCACCTCCAACTGCCTATTTGACATCTTACCTGAGGTGCGTAATCAACATCTGAAACTTAACTTGGTTCCTAGCCCCCTCTCCTTCCCCATTCATCCACATTTCGTTAAGTATTGCCACCACATAAACTTGCTCTCACCGAAAACTTGGTTGTCATCCTTGATTCCTCTCTTTTCTCACCCACCACATGTATCCATTGGAAAGTCCAGCTGAGTATCTCTCTTGAATGTATTTCAGTTTGTCTGCTTCTTTCTCCAGTGAAGCCTCTGTGCCTAAGCCACCGGCCACTCTTGCTTGCAGCACTGCAAAGAGCCTCCTGCTGCTTCTTCTCTTGTTTTGCTTACAACCCATGCCCCATACAACACCAAAAGGAATATTTAAAAAACACAAATGGCTTCCATCATAATTAGGATAAACACCAGAGTTTTCATCATGTAAGATGAGGTCTTGCTTTTCCAAAATCTCCTCTTAGGTACCCTGCAATTCGCTGCTGTATTGCAGACACTTAGGTTGCTCTCACCCAGGTCTTTGCATAGATACATTGCCTACTTGGAACCCTCTTTCCCTAGGTTTTTACAGGACTGGCTGCTGCTTGTCATTTAGATCCCTGAAATGCCATCTCACAGAGGTTTTCCCTAGGTCGACCTCACCTAGGTTTCTCCTATCCCTGCACTGAATTTTCTTCAAAGCTTATTGCTGTCTGATTACCTTCTTCATTATTTGTTTATTTTCAGCATTCCATTATTAACCTGTGAGCTTCCTGAGGACAGAAATATCCTGATCTGGTTTACCCCTGAGCACTGCGTTCTTAGCATATTGGCTAAGACTAGGCTAGACTGGGATCATGTTCACTAGTGAATGCTGCCACCGCTACCCACTGCTTTGGCATTTCACCCTAGTTGCTTTGCTCTTGTGTGGCTCAGTTTTCCTGTGTGAGAGTGGGGACTACATTAGCGTCTGCTTGCACCTTTGTGGGGAATAAAAGATATGAAACCTGGCAACTCTTTGTGATAAGTCTGGCCTGCAATAGACTAAGTGTTTTTCTCCTTGATTAGAATTCTTCTATATAATAGATATTCAATGAAAAGATACAAAATATTTTCACACTTTGTTGAACATTTTTGAATTTTATCTAATATTGATTTACCAAAAGATCTTCTAATGAACTTGTTCTCAGAAGCATGATTAAGTTATTTATAGTGTTCAACACCATGACCTATTGACGGTCATGTTATTTAAATGTGTAAGTTGACATATTAAATCTTGAGACATTAGTCAATTTTTTTTTTCTAAATTGTCTCACTCATCATGAATAGTGAAATTACTTGGCAGTTTTCCTTAATATAATTTTGAAGGTTGACAACTACTTTCTTAGGTATGGTGGTATTTGGAAATGGGAAGATATGGTTGAGCAAGATGAAAAAAACCCAAAAAACTAATCTGTAATTTCTAATATTTTTCTGTATGTTTGTACTCCCAGGCTTCTCTTTATACTGTAATGCATATTTTAATATTA